CAAACAAAACAACGAAACTAGTCAATACTTCTTCGACATCAATAGATTTGAAAATTCTTATCTAATTACAGTTCGTTACTTTTTCCACTTACTTAATCGTTACGATGATAATCGCACTTTAGGAAAGACTTAGACAAAGTGTATGGACAATAGCCTAAATACAGTGTCGTCCTATTCTCATTTACTGTCATAGGAGACACTTAATTCGATGGGTTGTATTATCAGACAACAATTCCGTCACGTAATCGTTTTATGTTTATCTAAGACATTTACATATAATAAAATCCACTATCACTTCTAAAATGTGTCATATAAACAAGTTTCCAATTCTGAAAATTAGTTACGTTCGACTAGTTCTCGTGTCGTGAACACTTAACTAAAGTTCCCTAGTTTTTTCTAAACGACTAGTGTAAATAAGAAACTTGAATTTCAATAATCGACCGATATAACTCATTTTTATTTTGTAAACGAAAACATCACATTCCACATCTTATATTTCGTCTTGCCTATACACTTATCTTTATGTTAATAGAGTCTTAACATGAATTCATGTCATTAGTTTCACTGAACGAGACATTTCGACGATATACCATGTTCATTTATTGATCCTTAGATACAATTCCTCTGTATCCTTTAAACGAAATGTGTGAGTAGTCCAACAATCGACTTCATTATACACCAAGCGAAATTTCAACGAGCTACAACATTTTGTTGCGGTATCAATCGGTTGTAATTTGTTTTGACTTAGTCGAAAGTGTGATATGCACTTCCGATTTTGTAAACTTTTGCTGAAAATATAAGCACACAGTCGCACTAATATAATATAATATTAATAATAATGATTTTTATATTTATGAATATTCTGTAAGGTTATATAAGTTGTTTAGGATAATCAAGAAAAGTATTCGATTACTACCCAAGGCTGAATTATTATTGCGTTTAATAAATGATGTCATGTTTTGACAAAACATATGGTGATTATTAAATCAAGTGTTACCCAGGTCATGTACTTATCTAGAGAGGCTTATTTTGTTGTATTCTTGATTAAAAGATGATATAATTGCACTGTATACAAATCACTGATTGAACACTACTTTAGGTGTTTGGCTAACAATGATTAAAAGGACAATCTGAAGGGACTGATAATCATTACAATATTTGGCTCTACAGAAGCTCCAATTAGTAAAACTTATCAGAAATGTAATCTAAAGTGAAAGGCGCAGAGACACGCGAGCAGCAGTGAGATGGAGACGGGGGCTCTGGCTACGGCTGCCGTGGTGTAAACGGTCCTGCCGTGAAGACATTGCGCACTCCGAAACACGTTGTGATATCCTGTCTCAGTCGGAAACATCATCATCTGGTGAGGGAAAGGAAAGTGTTAGCTTTGGTTTAGCTACTGTAACGGCCCGTCCACACAGCAGCTTTGAAAAAATCTTGAAAATCTTGGAGGTGGGCGTGTCGGAAAGCTTGGGGATTTTTTGCGAACAACAACCAATCACATGAATCTCCCGCCCCGACATACAAAGCAATAGCAATGTTATAGCACTTGTTGGCTGCTTTTCATTCACTCTGTGGTCCAACTGATCCCAAACCATCTTAATTGGGTTCAGGTTGGGTGATTGAGGATGCCAGGTCCTCTGATGCAGCACTTAGTCAAATAGCCCTCACATAGCCTGGAGGTCTGAGGTCATTGTCTTGTTGAAAAACAAATGATTGTCCCAGTAGTCGCAAACTAGATGGGATGGCATGCTGCTGTAGAATGCTGTGGTAGCCATGCAAAGCTCCCCCACATCATCACACTTCCTCCTCCAGGCTTCACGGTGAGAACCACTCATGCAGAAACCATTCAAGGTTCAAGGCTTTTATTGGTCATACGTACATAGCTACAGTGTAGTTATGACAATGAAAATCTTAGGTCACAGGCTCCTCAAACATTGCAACACAATAAAACAGAACAAATAGTGTAAGTAAATTGATTACCCTCTCTGCGTCTCACAAATACATTTGGACTCATCAGACCAAAGTACAGATTTCCACTGTCTAATGTCCAATCCTTGTGTTTCTTGGATCAAAAAATTCTCTTCTTCTTGTTGTTCATCCTCAGTAGTGGCTTCTTTGCAGGAATTGGACCATGAAGGCCTGATTCACGCAGTCTCCTCTGAACAGTGGATGTTGAGATTGTCTGCTATCTGTGATAATTGATGTGGGCTCTAATCTGAGGTGCTTTAATTTGAGGTTTCTGAGGCTGGTAACTCTTTTATCTTCTGCAGCAGAGATGTTTCTTGGTCTTCCTTTCCCGGGGCGGTCCTCATGAGAGCCAGTTTCATCATAGCGTTTGATGGTTTTTTGCGACTGCACTTGAGGATACATTCAAATATCTTGAAATTATCCGGATCGACTGACCTCAATTTGTTAACGTGATGATGGACGGTCGTTTCTCTTTACTGAGTTGAGTGGTTCTTGCCATAATATGGATAACAGTAGTCAAATAGGGCTATCCACTGTGCACTAACCTCTGCCTCTGCCCAACACAACTGATGGTCTGAGACACATAAAGAAGGCAAGTAATTCCACAAATGGACTCTTGACAAGGCACACGTGTTAATTGAAAACCATTCCGGGTGTCGACCTCATGAAGCTGACTGAGAGAAGCCAAGAGTGTGCAAAGCTGTCATCAAGGCAAAAGGGGGCTACTTTGAAGAGTCTAAAATAAAAATCCTATTCTGGATTGTTTAACACTTTTTTTGTTTACTAGATGATTCCATCTGTTATTTTATAGTTGTGATGTCTTCAGTATTAATCTACAAAGTAGAAACAACTTTAAATAAACAAAAACCATTGAATGAGAAGGTGTGTCCAAACTTTTGACTGGTACTGTACAAAGAATACTAATATGTTATATTGTAATGTTGTAGCTTTGATTTCACACCATTGGATTTCAAATCAAACACTGACTGGCCTTTGAGTGATGGCATTCAGAACTGTTTGGGTAAAGAGTGTCAGAATCCCTCCCTGTTATGCATAACCTCACATGTTGAATATAAAAACACGAGGTCTTTGCAGGAGCGGAATTGAATGTTCTTATGTGACCTTAATCAAAATCTAAACAACAAACTGAACACCAAAAGTCTGCGACACAAACAGGAAATGAAGATAGCACAGATGAAGAAGATACCAAGTGACTCATTGACATCTGCAGCAAACGACTGCAAAGGATAAACAAATGTGATGACTTCAAACGATAAGTGTGTGTCCTATTTCTTATTGTCAACAAATCCAACAATAAATTGATATTACAGTTATTGTTTTTTTGAGTATCTTAAAAGGGATTTGTTGACAATAAGAACATAGAGCACCTCAAGCCTTATTTTTGTGAGAAATAAATAACAAATAGTCAACTAAACCTAAACTACATCTGAGTTTTAAACTATTTAATCAGTGTTTGTTTAGTTTCCATTCATGTTACAATGTGCGTAACAGATGCGACGATTTGATTAGGTTTTTTGTCACATCAGAGAATCCTCACAAGAATGCATTTCATTATTATCTACATCCCGAAAGAACATTAGTCATTATTTTCTTGTGACGTTGAGGAACCCCACTGCCATTACAGAAACTATTTGAATCTCATTTTATACTTCTGCTAAATGTTAATGGTGTTAAAAACCCTGTTGATACATAAAAACGGTCCATATATAAATCTTATGATTCATTTTTGGTTTGGGGATAAGAATTATGGTTGAGTACTGTTTCATGGATTATTGCTATTATGTTTTTATGCAAAGTTATATTCCACCACATATTCCCAGCGGTGGGAGAAGTAGTCAGAACTTGTACTTAAGTAGAAGTAGAAGTACAAGAGTGTAGGCATACTCGGTTACAAGTAAAAGTCCAGCATTCAAAGGGTTACTCAACTAAAAGTGAAAAAGTATCAGCATCAAAATATACTTAATGTACCAAAAGTAAAAGTAGTCATAATGCAGATTGGTCCATTTTAGAATATTATATATGATATGTTTTGATTATAGATATTGATGCAAGTGTTATCAAAGCTACACTGAGCAAAAATATAAATGCAACACTTTTGTTTTTGCTCCCATTTTTCATGAGATGAACTCAAAGATCTAAAACATTTTCTATATACACAAAATAACCATCTCTCAAATATTGTTCACAAATCTGAACAAATCTGTGATAGTGAGCACTTCTCCTTTGCCGAGATAATCCATCCCACCTCACAGGTGTGGCATATCAAGATGCTGATTAGACAGCATGATTATTGCACAGGTGTGCCTTAGGCTGGCCACAATAAAAGGCCACTCTGAAACATGCAGTTTTGCTTTATTGGGGGGGTCTGGGGGCGTCCGAAAACCAGTCAGGTTTAACCCTAACCCTAACCCTAANAGCGGTGGCATTGACGGCGTGCCCCTGTCAGGATGCTTTGATTTGACTTGCCGTTTAATTAATGTATAGTAGGTGTGCGTAACAGTGTAATGCGTAAAGTCAACTCTACCTTCAGCAAAGTTTTAGGGATTTAGGGCTCAGTCAGCCTCAGGGGACTGTTTGGTTACTTTAGTTGGTAATGAAATAAATTTTTGAACTTTGTAGTAGTCACTTGTATGTTGCGCATAAAGGTTCATTTTGTAGACTAAACTGGCAAAAAGTTTTTTTTACATTTGTACTTTGTAGAAAGGAAATGTAGACACAGTTGGAAGGAGCACAATTAAACCTGACGGAGTTTGAAATTGAGTGTGATTATGAGTTATTTCAATTTGATATTAGCTCACAATAAGTTCACTTAAGTTACTCACACAACTTGGACACAAGCCGATGGCATACTTGCCAACCTTTAGACTCAGGAAATCGGAGCATTTCAAAATGCAAATTGGGGGGGTTGCGTACGGTGGATCGCTGAAGCTGTTAGATTAACATTAACATGCCTTATTGTAGTTGTAAGGCACTGACTTGCGGGGCCTTGTAGCATTCGTTCCTGATGGATCATATGTGTGGGCGGATCTGTATTTTACAGGAAAGGACTGGTGAGCAGTTGTCGATTCCTTGTTCTGTTTCTGTGGAATATCTGCTCCTCACGCCTCTCAGGACTTGAGTTTGCATGCGGCTACTAAAGAGACGTGTTACCATGGAAACCAAACAATGTTAGCTGTATAAGTCCGAGTGGAAAACGTCGTGTGTAAAATCTTGATTTTGGCAGAAATCAGGGGAAAAATGCGGGGGAGAAGAGAAATATTGAACCCGGAGAGGGCAATTAAATCGGGAAGCTCCCGCGAAAATCGAGATGGGGGTTGACAAGTATGGGCTATGGGTTCAGGTTCCGGCGAGCTGAATAGTCCGACCTGGAACCTGAACCTCTGGACTTGGAGTCCGACCTGAAACCCGAATGGAGATCCAGGTACGCAAGCACTAATCGAGATGCTGATTAGGGAAAAAATCTGTGATAGTGAGCACTTCACAGGTGTGCCTTAGGCTGGCCACAATAAAAGGCCACTCTGAAACGTGCAGTTTTGCTTTATTGGGGGAGTCTGGGGGGGTCCGAAAACCAGTCAGGTTTAACCCTAACACTAACCCTAACATGTCACCCACTGACATGTTAGGGTTAGGGTTAAAACCTAAAACATTTTTTAATGTGTAAGTGGGTGACATGTTAGTGTTAGGGTTAGGGTTAGGGTTAAACCTGACTGGTTAAACCATAACAAAAATTGTAATGTGTCAGAGTGTGACATGTTAGTGTTAGGGTTAGGGTTAGGGTTAGGGTTAAACCTGACTGGTTAAACTACGGGTCTGCAACCTTTTTGACCAAAAGAGCCATTTTGCTCCTTTTTCCCCAAAATGTTTTTGTCTGGAGCCGCAAAACATATTTCATAGCTTGATAGCTTATAAAGTTGTATTTATTGTTATATCAGACAAAAACTACAGGTTTTTTTGCATTTATTAGGCTATTTATTACATTATATAAAACTGTTAACCTCTAATAAGAAACAAAGAACTCCTATAAGGAGAATTCAAAATAATACACAGGCCTACTTTAAAATAAATTAAACACAGCACTTGGGGAGTCCTCTGCACATTTGAAGGAAAAATATATATAATTAAAATGGGCCCACTTTGAAATAAATAAAACATATAGCTGCAACCTAAAAAGAGTTAAAGGTAGGGTAGGTAAGAATGGAGAAACCAGCTCGAGTGCGCTAGAATTTGAAAATACACAACCGGAAAAAATATGCCTCTTCCTTCAGACTTTCTTACAGAGCCCCTCCTCCAACACACACGAACGCGCATGAGTTATTTTAGCCGGGCCGGTTAAAATGATTGGTCGTGCTATTTACAGCGCTACGGCTTCCAGAGNGCATAGAGTTGATCAGGTTGTTGATTGTGGCCTGTGGAATGTTGGTCCACTCCTCTTCAATGGCTGTGCGAAGTTGCTGGATATTGGCAGGAACTGAAACACGCTGTCGTATACGCCGATCCAGAGCATCCCAAACATGCTCAATGGGTGACATGTTAGGGTTAGGGTTAGGGTTTAACCCTAGGGTTTTCGGACCCCCCCAGACCCCCCCAATAAAGCAAAACTGCACGTTTCAGAGTGGCCTTTTATTGTGGCCAGCCTAAGGCACACCTGTGCAATAATCATGCTGTCTAATCAGCATCTTCATATGCCACACCTGTGAGGTGCGATGGATTATCTCGGCAAAGGAGAAGTGCTCACTATCACAGATATTTTCAGATTTGTGAACAATATTTGAGAGAAATGGTTATTTTGTGTAAATAGAAAATGTTTTAGATCTTTGAGTTCATCTCATGAAAAATGGGAGCAAAAACAAAAGTGTTGTATTTATATTTTTGTTCAGTGTAGTAAAGATGTAGCTAGTTTTAATCACTTTGTGCAACCTAGCTTGTGAATTTAATCCAGGTGTAACTAAAGTCTGATTTAAGTGTTGGTTATATTTCACATCATTATTCCAAATATGTAGTAACTAAGAGTGCTAAATAAATGTAAAAGTACAAGATTTACCTCTGAATTGTAGTGTGGTAGAAGTACAAAGTAGCATAAAATGGAAACACTCAAGTAAAGTACCTCAAAATTGTACTTAAGTACAGTACTTGAGTGAATGTACTTAGTTACTTTACACCACTGCATATACCCTTTATATTCAGCTGATGGTGAGTAGCACGTACCAGGGTTTCGTCCACCTTGATGGACTCTTTAAACACGGTCCAGACCACAGCTTGGTTACATGAAGGCGTGGTCAAGGAGCCGTTGTAGCGATAGTATGACTCTCTGTTCACGCTGCCAAGCAAGTCGTCAATGGAGATCTCTTCGGTGACGTTAACTTCTGAACCTGCATTGAAAACCAAAATGCCCAAGATGTAGTGCCACTTGTATTTTACGTAATGTATGCCAACAAAACAGGTGTGTACTCACTGATGTTTTTAATAGCTGAAAGATAGCTGGTGAGTTTTTTCCAGGCGTCCATATCAGATGAGGACTGTGTGTGCAGAGAAAAACATGGTGAATAAATAAGGAAAATGGCATCAGAAGTAGCTAATTGGACAACAATAGCACAATCTGCTGAAAGCTTCCATCTCTTACCGCGCCTTGTTCTGAACTGCTGCGGCTTTTTTCCTTTGCGCCTGTGGCCTGGAAACAAGCAGGTCAGTATGTTGTGTAACTGGCTTTTCTCAATGTCAAATGTAGACAAAAGAGAAAATAAAGCATTACTCCCAACGATAACATGAACTGGGAACCACAACACAAAGTAGATTTATTTTGCAGTTCAGATTGACAGAAATAAGGGTTTGTTTTGTATTTGTATAGGGTGTGGATCATGACATCTGTGCAGGTTACGCTTTAAATGCGAGCAGGTAGAGATGGTGACATTCTTGTATGAGATGCGGATATGTTTCAGTTAGTGAAATAACTTTTGATTGACAGCTCATTTAGCACAGCGTCCTTGGGCTCTCTTTTCTTTTCTAAAAGATTCTTATCCTGATCAAATATTTCTCACCCACATTTCCGTAATGCATCACATTGCTGGAGGCTGTTTATAAATGGCGTCAGACCATAAAACTGTTTCTCTTTAGTATGAATAGTATGCATGACCTTGGGTATAGTTTTTTTACTTTTCCATTATGAAAATACTAGCAGATACAGAGTTTGTAAAGTATGGATTTGGACATAAGTGTAATGCAATTAAGTTACCTCAATAAAGAACCCAAGCACAGCCAGACCATCAGTAGTTTGTAGTGCCTGTTCGAGAGTTAAATCCTTCCTCTTGTTGACTATGTGCATCTGGATGAAGACACAATTCATCAATAGAAAACAGGCAAAAGCTCAATCTATGAGAACACACTTCAATGCAATAACGTTTTAAAAGCCTGACCTCCATTGGGTATCTCTTTGAATCCACTGTGTGCTCAGAGCCTTCAGAGTCATGCGCGCCCCAATGGAAGTGCAACTGAAGGGTGGAGAAGACGTGTCCCAAACCTCCACCTGAGACCTCCACACCCTCCTTCAGTACGCACTTCACTGGGAGTCAAATGAGAACACAGGTAGAAAGTGTTACATGTTTTCACAGACTTAAATGTGTTTTTCCTATTTAAATTAACCATTTTTGGAATTGTTTGTATTCTTGACACTATTTTGTCAACTAATTAAATTATTTCAAGGACAGGCAAAGGGACTTGATTTGTTAGGTGTAGTGACAAGGTAAAAATAGCACCTTAAAGTTGTCCCATTATCCTCTTTATTTATAAAACCATTAACCAGTAATCTAAATTGTTGTATTTTTGATAAATGCTTGTATTAATGGTTGCAGCTATAACCCTCATGAGATAAAGGTAACTAAAGCTTTAGATACGTCCTTCTTTTGGGTCTAGATTCCATAGATGTCCACAGAAACAGCCAATAATAAGGATGAACAAACCTGTGTGGCCTGTGTTAATGATTTTCTCGATGACATGTTTGTCGTCAAACTTTTCAAAGTGGAATGCACCGAGTTTCTCCTCCTTCACGGCGCTGCTTTTCGAAATGTTGATGGGTGACTGGCTTTCCCCGGCGCAGTAGGCGTTGGGCAGGCGGCTCCACTCAGACTGCGTGTATTCTGGAATTCAAGGGGAACAAGTTCTGTAACATCATTATGAATTTAAAGCTGTCCACTCATCACATCTTTACATTTGCCCCTACATACCACAGTGATCATGATAGCACCATGGATGACCTGAAGAATAGAAGAACAGTCATGTTGAATATGTCAGTCTTAGATATTATGGGTCTTATATGTGTTTAATTTTACCACTCACTGGGTAAAGGAGTTGCAGGGGAAGCCAACACCTGTCGTCCATTAAGAGCTTGTGTAGGTCGATAAACATTTCTGAACCCTGCATTTTCCGGGAACTTCTGAATCTAACAACAGCACAAAAGAAACATAAATAAAGAGTGCATGTAGGGTGAGCCAGCAGACCAGCCCCATACCAATGAGGGTTAGGTGAAACATCAATTATGTCATTCTCTTTACCTTCCAGCGAATTCAAAAGGCGTCGTAAGTAATTGCAAAGACAACTAGAGGGTGTAAACAAAGTTTAAACACTCCCTCGGATCTTATCATGAAGGCCTTGTCTTTGATGACACTGGTATTTGGCTGTTTCTTCTCACGCCATCTTGCACTAATCATGTGATTTTACTTGTTTGTTCCTTATTCAAATAAGATGGTTTAAAATGAAACTAATTTGATACTCATAAAACAGTGATGGAGTAAAGTATGTTATATTCTGTCTTATCAAAACCTGGTGCCTTCATTACCCAATTCAGTTTCTCCACCAAAAGTTTTGGTCAGAAACTCGAGGCTAAAGTGCCCAAGCCGCTCGCCTCAAGCAGAGATGACGAGCAGATTATGTAAGATCATATCCTTTTAAATCCACACCCCAAAATTGTGTCATTGTTAAACATGAGTTCAACCCAGGATGCCACATCAAGTCATTTCCCTTGAGGTGATTTACGAGGCGTTGCAAGTGCTCTGCCCTGGAGCCACAAACGGTTTCATCCATTCCAATCCAATCCACTTTATTTATATAGCACATATTAAACACAGAGGGTTTAGCAAAGTGCTTCACAGCAAACATAACATTATAAGTTATGAGTTTATCCAATGTAAAAGCACTGTCGATTTTGACGCCCAGATTTGTGACCATGGGTTTTGCATACGGTTGCAGGGAACCTAGGTCAATGGAAGGGACATCACCATTTGGTCCAAATACAATGACCTCCGTTTTGCTCTCATTTATGTTTAAAAAGTTTAGCGCCATCCAGGCCTTTATGACATTAAGACAGTCAACCAGGGGCATCAGGGCGGTGGTTGCGAAGTCGATAGGGACTTGACTTGGCAACTGGAAGGTCACCAGTTCAAGTGCCTGCAAGACCAAGTGCTACCGAGGTGTCCCTGAGCAAGGCACCGTTCCCTACACTGCTCCCCGGGCGCCGTTCAAAATGGCAGCACACTGCTCCTAACACTAGGATGGGTCGAATGCAGAGAAATAATTTCCCCACGGGGATTAATAAAGTATATCAAAAAATCCAAAATCAGAGAGCTGGGGTGTTTTTTTAGGGGTAGGTATATTTGGGAGTCGTCCGCATAAAGGTGGTAGGAAACGCCATGTTTTCTAAAAATTAGTCCACGGGGGAGAAGGTATAAAGAGAATAAAATGGGCCCCAAAATAGATATTATCATAACTATTTATTAGGTAGTTCTCCCTATCACCTGTAAACAGAAGATTATACATTATACTTAAAACATAATGCTGCATCCACAAAAGAACATAGATAAATGATGATTAAAGTAATTCAACGTTATATCTATAGAGCGTTTCAAAACCTGATTTATAATGTACGTAAAAGGATGGACATTTTTTGCACTTGATGGCTATTTAGTTCCACTTCATAAATATACATGTTGTTACATTTTAGACTACACCTTTAAATTATAAGGCAGTAAACAGTGTTAAAATGAATACTTTTATGAAGGATATAAATCTGATTTGTTGTTAAAAAGAATGGTTGCACTTCACGCGATCTTTGAGATTATCTTTGCCGATCATCATGTCCTCAAAACAGACTGGTATGGGTGAAACTTGGGTCAAAGAGTCACGCACCTGCCGTGCCACCTGACAATGTGACATGTGTACCTGTTTATCTGCAGAGGGCCTGTCAGGTAAATCTAATGAAAAGAAAGATTGTGTGTCATTCTGAAAATGTGACTCAACAATCTGTTTTTCTGTCACGCAGTCTTGACAGCTATTTACTCATAGTTAGACCAAACTGATTAAACAAACCTGATTATCTCACATGATTATCAAAACAGGAATCTCACGTGTACCTGTATGTCCCGGCACCATGCAGTCTGGTGACATTTCCCCGCATATATGGGTGGTCAATGATGTAACAGGTTGCATGTGACTCCACTTGCAATAGGTCACTTTTTTTAAATTAAAGGTTGTTCGTATCCAGAACACAGAAATGAAACCCTTCCCATTCAGGATTTCTTACACTACTCAGAAGACAGCTGACGTTTTAGGGTAGAAACTGTGAGGCAGCAAGGAACCTGCTGACATCTTCCACACCCACTTTTGACATTGTATTACTTCTGTTTATCACTCTCCTCAGTTGGCACTTTCGAGCTAACTCTTAATGGGCCTTTCAGATTTAGGCTGTAATAGACATTCATGTACAACAATTTTCTTCCAGGATACAGTTCATGTCTCCCCACACTATTTATTTATACTGTGCTACCTACAAGATATTGTCCACACTTAATGTGCTATATAAATTAAATACACGGTTGGTCTTTTTTGACAAACATCAGTTAAATGTCAGATGGAGACACAAGGAAAACCCACAAAGGATTACATGCTTTTTCTCTCCAACTGATTTGCAGGTTCACCTATTTGACACAGCACCATCTTTGTAAAGTGTCCATTCAGTGCATCATCAAACACAGGCTGTTTTAAAGGGCACCTTAGAAGGCACTTTATCATGTTTGATCTACAATAGGGGTATCCCAGATAACCCCTTTGCTTCGTTATTTTCTAACTACGGGTGCACCAAGAAGGGTATTTGAGCCTAAAGCTACAGTAGCCATTTTCGTCCACTGGTGGCAGTATAAACAAGTTATGAACGCGGCAATGACAACATTGTTTGGCTTCTGTAACACTGGAAGTACATAATAGGCCCTTACGTCCCTCTCTCTGCTGACAGGGGCATGTGTTGACTAAACATGGCCAACTCACCAGAGTTTTGTGGATGATGATTGGCTCATGAAAGACTGTCCACACGACCGCTTCGTTGCAGTTTGGGGTGGTCAGCGAGCCCATGTACCGGTAGAACTTTGTGAGGTCCACATCTTTAATCAGGTCATCGATAGAGATGTTAGGTTTCTTATCACACTTGGGGTCTGGGGAAAGATGTTAGAAACAAAAAAAAAGCTGTCATGTGGATTGAAATGCTCCAACAGCATCCTTGGTGTGGTGCCATAAAATGATATTTATAAAAAAAAAAAGGCATTATCTGACGATGTAACAACAAAGATGAATGGTTTTAAAAACAACTCTAACTTGACCTTACAATTGTAAAGTACAGTTCAAGGACAACAACAACCAGTTCAAGTACAACACTAAAGCATGATTATTTATTTTTGTATCTATACAATACCAAAGACGACATTAAAGATAGTTGTGAAACTTTCATTTGCAGGATTTGTTCCTTAAAATATTTCAAGCAGGGTTGACAATTATTTGAATGGTTGTTTAAAAAAAGCACAAACCTTGAAATGTCACCTGTCTATGCCAAGGTTTATACATTCAGACCATGCCAGGGATGTAGAGAAACCACAATATTCTCACTTGCGATAACAACAAAATGGAAGAACACTTACCCATGACATTTGTCAGGCAGGATATGAGGTTACTCCATGTTGGCGACACATCTCCATCTTCTGTTGCCTTTAGGTGGAGGACATCATTATTACACACGAAATGTTAGCTCTTTTTTGTAGTCTAGTTATCTGGCCTATAGGGGTTGTCAGTGTTAGAGTTGATGCATGAATTGAACATTAAAAAAAGCTCAAACTTCCCATAGCACAACCCATTGACTGACCAAAAGAAGTTGAGTATAACCGAAGAATGAACAAGACCATTTTAGGCGACCAAAGTACTGTAATACATTTTCAATGGTGAAAGATCTCTGACGAAAACACGGAAAAAAACTTAAACCGGAAAATGTGGAAGCGTCCTGGTATTTCCAAGGTAGCCCTAACGTGAAGTGTAATCTTAATCAGTTAACATTTTAGGGTAATTTTGGTATTTTCTCGTAGACTTTTATACAATCTGACAACAATCTGAGTTGCTCTCTGCTGGCCATTGGAAAGAATGCAGGTTTAACGCACTTCAAATGTGGCTTCACTAGTTTAGACAATAGACTGTATATATATATATATATAATGTAGCGATCTGCATTTATTGTTCAAGTGTTCTGTTAACTGTTTGTGTCAGGCTTCTGTGAGGAGAGCAGGTAGGGGCGGGGTTGGGGAGCAGAGGGTTTGGTGTGTGTGTGTGTGTGTGGGCGCGTGCAGGGGAGTGAGAGGTTGGCGCGAGAGGAGAGAGAGTGAGAAAGGACGGATGAGAGCCGTTGGTTGTTAATAAACCTGTTTAACTTGAGAACGCTTCACTCGTCATTCCGACACGTCCGGGTGGACGTTACATTGGTCAGTTCCCCTGTGCAATTCCAGTCTCACATCTCACATCACATCGTGATTAACAAATAGACTAGAAAACAATTTAAAAAAATAAAATAATACTTTATTCCGAAAGTGCTTGCTTTTCTCTTTGAAAGTCATCACATAACGGCATTGTAATACACGGTTCGGCTGCATTAAATATTACATATCTGCCGTAGTTTTCTATTTATAGAGCCCTGATGAGAAGACTTCTAGACCAGTGGTTTTCAAAGTGTGGGTAGGTGAGCCTCCCCTCAGAGAACATAAGAACAGCCGCGCCCCCCCTCCCAATTATTATTGCTGTTATTATTATTATTATTATTATTGTTGTTGTTGCTATAATGCAGGGGTATTCAATTGCATTTCAAAGAGGTCCAGTAAGAGAAAATGTAATTGAAATGCTCTGTTTTCGCTGTCTACCTTCCGCCATTTGAAATTACTCCGACTGTTTCTCTCCTCTTGTCTCGTCTCTGTGTGTGTGTGTTTGAATCTATCGTGCTGACTGCACCGATTTGATTGGCTGAGTAGCGTCACCTCCTTAAAACATTAAACAATAACTTTTTTAAACCTTTTTATTTTTATGTTTTAAACATATTGTATAAAACTCCCCCACTACTTGGACTATTCCTTGCACCCCT